AGGCAGAGTAGGTTTGTTAGCTTCCTCCTCAGAGAAGGAAGCAACTTGTGAATGGGCCGCTGACAGCCAGCATCGATTAATGCTTTTCCACCCGCACTCAGAGGGCACGCCAACTAGGGAGACACAGAAGAAGTCCTCTCGTCCCAGCTTTTCATTCCCTTAGGTGTGTAGGAATCACACCGACAGGCCACTGTCCCCCCACCAACCATTAAAAGGTCAGCACTTCTACTGACCTAGGCCTCCAGCACTTCGTGGTTCCAGCACCAAAGCACCACAGGCTTACAGACATCGACTCTGGACACTCCCCTTCCTGGGCTGACTCTCTGTTGTTGCTTTTTAGATTAATCCGGCCTTCTGGCCTCTAGCCTGCTTCAGGCCCCAAAGCTGACACTGCCTGGCAAGCACGACTTCTAAATCTAGGCTGCTTCACTGAGGGTCTGAGCCCCCCACACAGCGGCTGACGAGGCAGCCTCATGGGTCACTGCAGAAGCAAGGAGTTGGAAGGCAAACAAAAACATTTATTCGAACACACTGAAGGTGAACAGCTGCTTTTCTCTTTCATCCAAAAAGTTCTCAATAAAAAAAAAGAGGAAATGTTGTAAATTACACAAAATGGCAGTACCAACTTCAAAGAAATGATAAATGATTCTAATAACTTCGAGTTTCTCATTAATGACTCCACGTCCAGAGTTTGAAGCATCCTAAAAGGATCGCGACAAAATGGTGAAAAGTTGAGATGAACCCAATGCCCTCTTCTGAGACTTCCCCCCGCAAAAAAAATCAGGGACCACCCACCCCTAACCCACGGGTAATAGGGGCAGGATGCAGTCGAAGCTCCCAGCTGTGGTTTCATAATAAAACAAACTCAGCTGATGCTCCTAAAGTAACCTTCATTTTCCACTGAACTGACATGCACTACAGGGACCTCAATTTCTATATTAAATATTAAATAATATTAAAAGAAAAACAAAATTGGATTTGCCTTTTCAGGAAAGAGATGTTTATTAAAAAAAAAAACCTCCAGATTATAATTCAAGTCAGTGCTTCACTGCAATTCCCCAAAGTGACATTTGCTAGGAAAAGCCAAGACTCCTGAAGCTGCGAGCCCCCCCAAAGCCAGGGCTCCAAACCCACTCACTGCAATGACTCCTTTGGGGAGAGGCCGAGAGGGTGCCTGCCAGTAGCCTCCCGCAGTCAATGAGCCGCCCAGGTTCCCTCTCAGCAACTGCAAGGGGGCTAAGGGACTGACTGTGGGCTTGCTGCCCTGCTGTGCAGCACCAGACTCCCCCACCCCCATCCCCAGCCAGAGGCTGCCGAGCTATTCTGATCCTACAAGCCTGACCGAGGGAACCAGTGGGAATTGGAAACGGGAAGTTTAAATCCACAAAGGGGCCTTTTCTTCCCCAGGCACCCATCAAACCTTGCAATTCTCTATCCAGGGAGGTCCTGCCAGAACCCACCCTATGGGGATTCCATCCGGAAATGGCTGAGGACTGGCTCCAGCAGCATCTTGAGAGGATAATGGAGGTGGGTGATTAAGAGACCTTCCTGGTCCTGTCCATGCACAGTTTATGATTCTGCTTGTGGACAGACACGTGCCCAGCTACCCAAGTTTTTTTCCCTTGGTTTTGGGTTTGAAATAGAACATTCCTGCTAAAACATATTTCTCATCTACACACTGAGAGGGGGGCCTCGCTGAGCACTACAATCCCTTCCAGCTTCATCCTCCTATGGCTTGTTCTCGGCATTTCTCCTTGTTCCTTGGCTCATAAAGACACACACTCTGCCCAAAAGGCTTTTTGCCTAGTCAAGCAGACTAGCTTGAGGAGCACTGATTTGGGGTCTATATGCCTTGGAGTTCAACAGTTTAAGTGGCTGAAAGTGGAAACTCTCTCTTCCTATGCAGAGGTGCTTGGTACACTGAGAAGTTGAAGGACTTGTCCATGGCCTCACAGTCAATGCATGTGCAAGGCAGGGCTTGAACCTGGGTCCTCCTGACTTTAAGTCCTACAATCTACCCATACCAAAGGCAATTAAGTCTGCTAAGTAATTTGGGTAGTAGTAATGAATAAAGGAGGGAGCCACTGAGAATGAGAGTAACCAGAAGAGTTCTGGGACACAGTTGACTATCTCATGCAAGCCACAGCCGGTCATCCTAAAGTCAAGACATTTAATGGTAAGCACAGACCCACAAAGCAGTCACCTTGGGCAGGGGAGCTGGCCCCGGTCCTGAGGTTAGCAGATAGCTAAAACTGGGCAAAGCAGAAGGGAGGAAATGGGCACATTTGGTTCACCATTCAACGGCTGTGGATAAAAGCACATCCGTTGTCACAGAGATGGCCAGAGGGCACTGGCTCACTCCAGCTGAGTTTCGTGGAGCTTTGCTCTCCTAGGTTTCACATTCATAATGATTAGAAGAGAGGCAGGGAACACCATTACAAAGAACAAAAAAAGGCACAACAAATAACAAACAGTTTCTGCTCTTCAATAATTATGAGCCGAGTAGCTCATAAGAGGTATTATTTAGGCCTGTGTGGATGTGAGTGTCTGTCTATCTCTTTCGGTCTCTGTCTCTCTCTGTCTCTCTGTCTCTCTCTCTCTCTCTCTCTCTCTCTCTCTCTCTCTCTCTCTCTCTCCCTCTTTCCCTCTCCCAGTCAGGGATTTATTAAAATTAAACAGATTAGATGAAGCTCTTGATACTAAAACTGCTCAGCAAGGCCTGCGGTGGGAAGTGCCGAGCAAACACCAGAGACATTTGTCTCCAAATTGCTCTAAATACCTTCTGCAAATGAAATTCTAACCCAGCTGCATTGGAGAGAAAATGAGGGATAACTGGTCACTGCCAGTGGAAGAGCAGCTCGGGCAGTTATAATAGTGCACAATATACTGGGGCTAAGGATCTCTCAGCAACAATAGATTTTGTATCAGGTTACCGTGGGTAATCAGCACGGCTTTTAGGCTCAGCTTTCCCCTGCTTCATTGCTTTGATGATAGAGCTGAAATCCCCAAGCTTTCATGATTAATTACTCCCCACAGGTCCGCAGATTTCAAGGAAAAACTCTTCCATGGCACGATGCTCACACAGTGGAGTGCTTGGCCAACAAACTCCAGATTTTCATAATCTCCTAAATGCGCAGAGTGCCCACGACACCATCAGCACATGGATGCCGCCCCTCAGGCCTCGGCCACTCCAGAGAGGCCGGAAAGGCAACGTGGCAGCCTCCTTCCTAGCTGCTGCCCCAGTGATGCCAGTTCCTGAACACACCACTGGGCCCTCTGCTCTCAGGGGATTCCTGATGGGATGCTGGCCTAAGACAGGCTCAGAACTTCACTTGGGCCAAGGAAAGAAGCATCCCTTTAGGTGGGCATCACAAAATAGTGCCTAGCATACAGCACCAAACAATTTCACCTCCCCTTCAAGCCATTTCAATGGGGCTTTTTGGGTAGATTGCTATTCTAGATACTAAAGAAGAAATAATATTTTTTTTGAGTAGGGGGAAAAAGTTGGGGGAGCTTGCCCCAAAACTAATTTTTTAAGCTGTATCAAAATCTATCATCAAATGGTCAAAAGATAGAAACAGGCAGTTTTCAAAGAAAGAAATGCAAGTTATCAACAATCATATGAAAAAATGTTCCAAATCACTAACAAATTAAAGCAACTTGTGAGGTTTCACCTCATACCCCTCAGATTGGCAAAATTAACGAAAAAAGAGAAATGACAATTGTCAGTGGAGCTGGGCCCGTCATTCTGGAAAGCAATTTGGAACTATGCCCCAAAAGTCACTAACCTGTGCGTGTACCCTTTAGCCCGGTGATAACACTACTGGGTCTGAAGATCAAAGAAAGAGAAAGAGGACTGGTGTATAAACATATTGATAGCATCTCTTTTTGTAGAGGCAAAGAACCCGGAAACTAAAAGGGGTAGTCATCAACTGGAAAATGGTAAAACAAATCATGCTACGTGAATGTAACAGAATATTATTATGCTGTGAGAAATGACAAGAGGAATGGATCCAAAGAAATCCGGGAAAACACATATGAATTAATGCACAGTGAAGTGAGAAGAACCAGCGGACAACTCCTGCAATACCACCAGCTCTATAAAGACAAGTGTGGAAGACTTAAGAACTCTGATCCCTGTATGACCAAGCACAGGTACAGAGGACCAGTGATGAAGCACACAGCCCACTTCCCGACCAGAGAGGATGGACTCCGCGTAGACAATGAGACATGCATTTCTGATGTGGTCATGCTGGGAATGTATTTTACTTCACTATTCATATTTATTGTAAGAGTTTTGTCTTTCTTTTCTTCCAACGTGGGGGAGGGGGGTAAGTGGGCCAATGGGAGGGAGTCAACTGAGAGAAAAAAAGTCCCATTCCCCCACCTCTCTTCCCAAAAGATCTTCTATCTTCCTTCATCAGTTACTGACTCCCAACCTGGAGACTTGGCAGGAAAAGGCCAATCTGTTTGGTGTCCCCAGCACAGCCACCACAGACTCTGCTTCAGGCAGTACTGAATTTGATGAGATTCCTTCTACTCCAGTCTACAGAAATACTAGAGCACCAGCAATTTCCCATTTCAGCCTGTAAATCAGACTGACCCCAAGCCTGACCTTAACCTGACCTTGCTGAGCCCCTCAGTCTTTGCGCCTCTCCGGCTCTGCTCTTTTCTGAAGCAGGTGACCTCCTAACCCACAGCTGGCCATCCTGAGGCCAGGGGGATTCATAGAATAGTCCTTATGCTAAGGGGCCTTTGTCTTTTCTTTTTGTCTTTTTTGCCCCCATGCGTTCTGTGGAACAGTGCTCGTTGGATGATCTTTCTGTTCCACAGAAAGGAAAAAAAAACCTGTATTCCCACTTGATAGGAAATCAGATGAGTGCACAGACTATTCTTTGAGCGCACAAGATGCCTGTTATTAAAAGCATGCTTCCTCCCCAAACCTGTCTCCACGTCCGTTTTTTGGTAGACAATTCAGAGTAATTAAAGTACTTATGTACCTTTCTTCTTAAGAAATGCCCTTCTGGTTGAAAGTGGGCTTTGGCGGACCCGGGAGTTCTGTAGAAACTTGACTGCAGTGGCAATCTGGGTGGGAAGAGAAAACAGAAGACAATAAAATGTCAGGAGTCTGAAGTTGAAGACTGAAAAGCCAAATGGTTCATTCAGTCCAGGTCTGTGGAAACAAAGCCTACGTGTCAGTCAAATTTGTCAAACATCTTTTACAAAACAAAAAACTATCTTAAAAAATATGATGTCATTTCTCAGCTCAACAGCCTCCAACAGGCCTTTCCCCAAAAGGTCAATTTGAAACTCTCTTGACTTTCAGCCCCTCCATGATCTACCCCTAAACTACTTGTTGAACTTTATTCCTGCAGAACATCACCTCCCAAGGCAAAGTGGCTGGCCCACAGTAGGCATTTTAAAAATGCTTGTTGAATTAAACAAACTTTCCCAATGGGCCCAACACACTCCTCCCACTCCCCGGGCCAGGCTTATATCCTGAGGGACCCATAAAGCACCAGGCTCACTCTGGCCACTGTATGCCTGGCCCATCTATTTTCCCTCCACTTCTCTAAATTCTACTCGCCTCCAGTTACAGACGCACACGGCTGGAAGTCACATCCTACACTCTTATTGCTAATCCAGTGTTTCGTGTGGGAATTTCTTGTTCCTTCCAACTAGACTACCAGCCTCTCAAGGTAGAGGAAAGAATGCCCTATTTCATTCTCTTCTGCTATCCCTACAATAGGCATGCAATAAATACTAACTGAATTCAATTTCCCAAACACTTACTAAGCATCTGCTCTGTGTAAGGCCCTGTCCTAGAAGCTAAGGAGACAAAGGAAAAAGGAACAAACTTCAGAACCACTAAGCTGCCTGTAGAGACCATCTGGTCTAGCGGTTCTCAGACTTTCTGGCCTCAGGACTCCTTTATACTCTTAAAAACGGTTGAGGACCCCTCAACCAGCTTTGTTTATGTGAGTTATTTCTATCAATATTTGTTGCATTAGAAATGCAAACACCTTGGTATTATTGTGAAAATGGTCTGACTTCACGGACTCCGGAGAGGATCTTCAGGACTCCGGGGGTGCCCAGACCACACGGGGAGAGCCGGATCTGGTCCAGCCCCCTCACTTTACAAATGATCAAAATGAAGACACAGACAAAAGGGAAGGGACCTGTGGATGCTCACTGACGTCTGGGTGAGGCCCCACCACCACCACCACCACACACGCTGCCTGCCCCCTTTCTCTTTTCTCTCCCATTGCACACAGTTGAGCGTTTGGGTTCCATCTGATCTCGGGAGTAGCTCGTTAGCTCCTCAAGAGCGGGCTAGGTCTTACACATCTTCTGCATCCAATTCCAAACCATGATCAACAATGCTCACTGAAAACCCAAGAGGCTGATCTGATATTTCCTGGGAAGCTAAAAATCCTGAAGCATCCCCACTAGACCACCACCATTCTGAGAGCAGACCTTCACTGCTCTCTGTGGCTCTGGAGCAGCCTGAGCACTGAAGAGCTCAGGAGTCGGAATGTTGGGAGTCTGGGGCTACAGCACAGTGTTTTACACATGGCAAAGATTAAATGAGGAGTGAATGAGCAAACGAAGGAAGGGCTAAGGAACGATCTCACCGCCCACATCACCGACTGAACAACATTTGACACAATCTGTGTCTTCTTGCTCACAAGCCATCTAGGGAATGGCAAGAAAGCCCATGAAGACCTTAGCCTCCACCTCACTCAACACATCAACACCATGTGTCAACACTGGGGCACCAGGCAAGAAGCAGGGAGGGGTCACTGCATATGACCACGGGGATGACGCCTCATCAAACCAGGAGAAGACTCTAATCTGCTGTTCCAGGTGAGGACATCCAGCCTCCACTCGCTCATTCATGCCGCTCATTCACCGGCTGCTCAAAGATGACTGTTCAATGGATGGCATGTAAGAAAGTTGGTGCTTATTTTCACGACAGGAAAACTGTGATATCAGGCAGTGGCAGTGGAAGCGGGGTCTCTTTTCCCTCATCCTTCCTGACAGACATTTTTGAAGAGTCCCAAGTAATCCAGAAAAGGCAAGTGATTAGGGGAAATGGCTACTCCAATATGGGTAAGGCTTAAGATTAACCAAGACATACCCTTTTGAAGATAAACTCTGTGCCTCTCCAGTTTGGCCAGACCTTGGTCCCTCCCCAACAACACATACTGATATCACTCGACAGGCTATTTCTCAGGATCCAGGCTCAGCTCCAAGGAGTTGGTAGCTAACTGCCTGGGGCCATAAGCTTTTTCCAGAAAGCCACTATCATCATCATCATCATAATAATAAAAGCTAATAGCTCACGCTTACAGAGAGCTTAAAGGTTTGCAAAGTGCTTTAAATCTATTATCTCATTGGATCCTCACAATAACCCAGTGAAGTAGATGCTACTGTTATCCCCAATCACCAGATGAGGAAATGAAGGCTCAGAGAGGTAAATACTAAGAGGGTCTTAAGGGTCACATATAGGGATGGAGATAGTTGGAGTAGCAGCGATATAGTAGAAACAGCATTAGACGGACAGTCTGGGGACTGAGGTTTGAATGTCTGCTCTGACACTTACCACTTAGATGACCTTAGTGGAGCAATCACTCACTCACTCACGCACTCAATCAACATTTATTAAGTGACTGCTACATGCTAAGCACTGGGGATATAAAAAGAGGTAAAAGACAACACCAGCCCTCAAGGAGCTTGCAATCTAATGCAGGAGACAACATGCAAACAAGGCAAGTTATGGAAAGGATAAAGAGGAAATATTTAATAGATGAGGAGAAAACTAGGTAGGGTGCACGGACAGAGTGCAGGCCCTGGAGTCAAGAAGACGTGAGTTCAAATCCAGCTTCAGACACTTACTAGCGCTATACATATATATATGTATGTATGTATATATATATATATACACACACACACATATATACATGTATATGTATATGTATATGTATATGTATATGTATATGTATATGTATATGTATATGTATATGTATATGTATATGTATATGTATATGTATATGTATATGTATATGTATATGTATATGCATGACTTTGGTCAAGTCACCCTCTGTTTGCCTCAGTTTCCTCACCTGCAAAATGGGGATAAGAGCAACTACCTCCCTGGGTTGTTGTGAGGACCAAATGAGATAATGTTTATAAAGCACTTGACACTATACAAACACTAACTAACCAGCTAGTAGTAGTAGTAGCAGCAGCAGCAGCAATAGCAGTGAGAGGGACTTGGGAAAGCTTCTGGTAAAACAGGGGATTTTAGGTGAGATTTAACAGAAGCCAGGGAGGTCAGGAGCCAGAGGGAAGAGGAGGGAATGTTCCAGGCAGGGGGGGCAGCCAGAGATAATGCCTGGAGGAGAGAGACAAAGGGTCTTGTCATAGAAGAGCCAGGATAACAGTCACTTCACTCTCCAAATTTAAGTTTCTTCGTCAGCAAAATGAGAAGTTGGACTTACTAAATGATCTCTACTGTCCCTTTCAGCTCTACATCCCATGATCTCTATTATCCCCCCGGCCTCGTTTTATTGCCTTCCATACAACTCACCCTTCTCCTCCCTAACCTCCACTTTCTCTCAGCAGAAGACCTGGCCTCCTAGCTCATTTAAAATAGGCCCTCTGTGTGATGAGCTCCCTCTTCTCTCTCTCTGATTATACCTCCAAATCCCTCTAAAATGAGTTCCCTCCCAACCCATGAATTCAATTATCTCCTCTATGCAGATGATTCACAGATCCATGTCTCCATCCATCAGGGTCTCTCTGGGGCTCCAGGTGTCATCATCATCACCACCACACCACCACCACCACCACCACCACCACCATCATCGACGAACATTTATTCAAAGATTACTTTGTGCCTATCAACGTGCTTAGCACTCACGATCAACAACTTCTCGCTGGATGTCTCCCCCCAGGAGATTTCGTGAGCACCTCAAATCGGAATTCCAAAACAGACTTCTTTATCTCACCCATGAGATCTGTCCTTCGTCCAAGCTTCTCTATTTCAGGTGAGAGCACCACCATCCTTCCAGCTAGCCAAGTCCGTGGGCCCAGGGTGGTCCTCGACTTTTCCCCTTCCATCACCCCTCTCCTCTACAGTCATTCAGTTGCATGCCCTGTTAATTCTACCTCCACAATACCTCCAGAATTGTTCCTCCTCTTGCCACCACCTTCCCTTCCAGCCTTTGCCACCTCTAGCCTAGACTAAGACAATGACTTCCTCCAGGGTCTCTCCTCTCTCCAATCCGTCTCTCTACTTTGAGCAGCTGTCAAATCTTCCCTAAGATGAAGAGATCTGATCGTGTCATTGTCCTTCTCAAGAAGCTTTACTAGCTCCCAGCCACCTCCAGGATAAAACACAATTTTCTTAGCTTGGCATGTATAGCCCTTTGCCATCTTGTACATTTCTGCCCTTCAGGCACTCTACGTTCCAAACTGACCTCTTGGTCTCAAACTCTTGGGCCTTTGCACGAGCTGTTATACCATGTGAGTGAAGTACACTCTCCTCTCACCTCTGCCCCTCAGACTCTCTAGGTTCCCACGAGGCTCCAATTAGGTACTGCCTCTACATAAAGCAGGCAGGGTCACCAAGGTAGTTTATAGAACCGCAATCGGAAATCTCCATCTTCAGACTCCATTTACAACATGGCTACCTCATTTGAAGCTTCAATCATCACCATCTGGACCAGGCTAGAGTCAAACCAATGACAGAGCAAAAATAAGACACCATGCAGGGTATACGAACCATTCCTCTCTGGCTGAACCAAATCATGACCCTCCCCTATCCTCAGCCCCCCTCAGATACTCATACACATACACAAAATACCAGCTGATCTGTCTTTTGTTTTAAAAAGGAAAGGAAGCCATCCTCTGCTCTGCAGAGGCAGGATGGGTGTGGCCAAGGAAATCACTGGACATGGGTCAATAATGATCAAGACAGAGCATGGATGGATAAGTGAGAAGTTACCATTCTCCACCTGAGGGATATACACAAGATGATAGTCTAGGTACCACGCTGCATCCTTTGTGTCCCATTCTCT